GTTCTGTAACAAGTCTCATTTTTTGAGTCTTGTTATGTAGAGAGTCGTGTTCTGTAACAAACATAACAGGAAAATATGATTCTGTTTCAAGCAGCTGTGAACTGAATTGTGTTTTTATTGTTTTTGTCTCAAACTGTTCAGGTGAAGAGAAATATTCGCAGCAGCTGTGCCAGAGTTCGATGCTTCAGAGGAAAAAGGCAGAAACGGAAGGTAAATGTTCTTTAGACCCAAAAAAATAAATATATAATTGATTTTTGTGATTCTTACATTTAGGTTGTTTTGTTTTGGAAATAAAATGATCTTAGAACCAAATACCACCAGTAAATGACATTTTCTAAGAAAACAGAGTGAAGGTGGGCGGCACGGTGGCACAACTGGTAGAGCTGCTGCCTCTCAGCGAGCTGGTTACTCCGGTTCAAATCCCGGCCCAGGGCCTTTCTGTGTGGAGTTTGCATGTTCTCTCTGTGCATGTGTGGGTTTTCTCTGGGTACTCCAGTTTCCTCCCATAGACCAAAAACATGCATGTTAGTCTGATTGGTAACTCTAAATTGTCCTTAGGTGTGAGTGAGAGAGTGAATGATTGTCTCATTTGTCCCTGTGATGGACTGGAGACCTGTCCAGGATGTCCCCCGCTTCTCGCACAGTGATGGCTGGACATGGGCACCAGTGACCCCAGCGACCCAAAAAGAAAGAAGCGAGTAAAAGATAATGGATGGATAGAGAAGAAGTTCAAACAGAAATGTTAAAAGAAGCTGAACACTGGCTATTCTAGTAGCTAAATGTTTAAAGTAGCAAAAGGTTGGATAAAATACCATAAATGTAGCTATCAAGTAAAAGTACCATAAGACTGGTCAAAAATAGAAAAAGGCTAGCTGAAAGCTAAAATTATAAAAGGCTAAAATATGAATTAATCAAAAGACTAGTTAAAAGTAGAAAACTGTAGCAAAATGCTTTAAAATAAAGTTACCTGTTTATGAATACTAGTTAAAAGTTACAAAATTCTAAAAGTAGCAAAAGGTTTTTTTTACAGGTATAAAATTTATGGCCAAAAGCTAAAAGTAGCACAAGACTAGCTCAAAGTTAAAAGTGTAGCATAACAGAAGCTAAAAGCTCAGAATAGCAGAACAAATGTTTAAAGTTGCAAAAGGCCAGCTAAAAGATAAAAGTAGCATAGAAAGACAATATGTAGGACAAGAAGGTAAATATGTTAAGAAGTATAAAATAAAAAATATCTGAAGTCTCAGCAGCCATCTCCTGGTTTAACGTAACTTACAAATATAACGTAGTATTTTTTTTATTGTTGTGACCCACTCATGGACCATTTGACCTGATGCGTTCACCCACAGGACCTAAGAGACACGAGACCCGTCAGACGCAGAGATGCTGCGCTTCAGCATCTCAAACAACAGGAACCGACTCCGAAAGAGGCGAAAGCCACAACGTCCGAGCCTCCCGGTATGTTCAGGGTCGACACATCTGCTCCGGAAGACAGTTCCCATTTTTTGTCATCAGACTGACAGAGCCGTTTCCTGTTTTCTCAGCAGCCGAAGAGCCTCCTGCAAGTCCTCCGGCTGAGTCTGCGTCGAAGCCGTTGAAACGTCTCTTCATCAAGGCCAACTGCAAGTGGTTGAGCAACACCGACCGCACCTTCGTGTTGAAGAAGCTGTGCGAGGCGATGGCTCGGCAGCAGCTGACCAAACCGTTCTGGATCAAGCAGTACCACATCATTCCCATCAGTGAAACCATGCATGGAACTGGGGCCAACCAGTGTATCCAGTACAGAGTCCAAGTAACCATGCCCAAAGTAGGGCAAGAAAAGCTTCAGATACCAGTAAATCTGGCAAAACGGAGACGTCAGAAGATCCTCAAGCCGGCAGCTGAACAGAAACAGGTGAACGGGAAGTTTATAAACTGAGATGTTACATTGTTGCTTTCTCTGTTTCACCCCAAACCCTGGTCTGCCGAGAACCAGAGGAGGGCCACATGGCCTTCCCTCTTCAAGGGTCTCCACAGTGAGCCGTCCTCCTCCATCTCACTCTGTCCTCACTCCCAACTACTTCCATGTCCTCCAACTGCATCCATATATTTCCTCTTTGTCTTTTGTACTTACAGATAGACTAAGGAAAACAAAACTAATTAATTTAGATTTTCCAAAATGTGTTTTAGTCTGTCAACAATGATACTTCCAGCGTACAAAATCTGAATCAGTTTAATTCTCTGGCAAGCTGAATAATTTTTTGATGTCGTCCCAGAATTCTTTGTGTGTGTGTTTTTGAAGGCATCTTGTGAATGAGTCCCCGAGGCTCAGTGGGACTAACCTGTACACATAAAGGTTGAATGAATGAATTTTGCTTCTCTTCCAAGATGTCTTCTCAGTATATAAAGAGAAAAAAGTTATAATCATGCGCACATCAAAAAGTATTATGGTATAGCCTCCGGCCATTGGTAAACTTTCTCTTGTCCAGGCCATAATTTCTGATCCACTGAAGATAATTCAACAAAACTTCATACACGTTTGTACCACCACCAGACAGAGGGTTGTTTCATCTTTTTATCACCCCAGCTCTAAGGTCAAGGTCAATCACAAGCTGAGCACACAAGTAACTTTGTGTGGGACGCAAAAACTGACCCCTTTTGGAAACAAACACCCTTTTTGTGTGACTTTTGATGAATAAGATGTAATATGGTAGTTAGCGTTCTGCTACCTTTAGTTTTTAGCTATTTTGCTACTTTTGACATTCAAGAAGCATTTTGCTACTTTTAGTTTTGAGCTACCAAACTGTGACCTTTAACTTGTAGCAATCTTTTTTCTTTTAACTTTTAGCCACACTTTTGCAATATAACTGTTAGCTACCATTCTGTTACTTTTTGATTTTAGCTAGCTTTTTGTGACGTTTAGCTTCTAGCTACCAGTAACTTTTTTTTTTTTTACATTTTCTGTCAAAACTTTGCTACTTTAGTTTTTACCTAACATTTTGGAGAAGTTAGCCAGTAGCTTTTGCTACTTGTAGCTTTTAGAGAACCTTTATTTTGTAGAAACCTTTTGCTCTTTTAAGCTAGTGTTTTCCCACTTTTAGATTTTTTCCCAGCTTCTTACTGCTTTCAGATTGCATTTTGTTATATTTAGCTTTTAGCCAAATATTTTATACTTTAGCTACTTTCAGCTTCTAACAACTATTTTGCTGCATTTAGCTTTCAGCTTACCTTTCTAAACCTAGCTTTTAGCTCATGTTAGTTAATCTAGTGTACAAATTCATTTAGCTTTAACGTCACACTTGTGTTTTTTTCAGCAGTTTTCAGCCCTCACTCAGTCATTCAGCGCTAAAATGTTTTTTAGCTGCTTTTGTTCCAGATTATTGGAGCTGATGACCAACATGAACATGTCAGTTTTTATCTAAGAAGTAACTCCAGCTTTTGTTGAAATTTACTTTTCACTGTAATCGTAGTAAAACAAACACGTGTTACTCAGGTACAAAACATTTTGTCTTTCAGAACCACCAATTAAAAGGGGCTCCCAGTGAGGTGGAGCCCCCTAAAGACCAGCTACAGGAGAAGGCAGAACCTCTGGAGGTACAGCAGGAGGAGCAGAACACTGTGTTGGAGGAGGCAATGCCAGTGCCTCTAGAGGACTGGCAGAAGGAGGTGGTTACGATGGATCCAGTGGAGGACTGGCAGAAGGAGATAGAGGGAAGTGAAACTGAGGAGGAGAAAGAGCATCACTCAGGTCCCAATACTGAAGATGGGCAGGAGAAAAAAACAGACCAGGAGGAGATTAAACCAGACAAGAAAGAGAACGTTGCTATGACTCTGCCTCACCTGAAAGGAGTATCTCCTTCTCTCCTCTCAGCCAAAAGAAAACAGCCCAAAGGAACAGGCCACCTGGCTCAGGTAAACCATCAACCATGAGTTTAGCCACGCCCTTATCTCATCCAGTCATGTACCCATAACCAGTTTTAATGTATTTAATGGGGTTAAAAAGTCTCAGTGTCTAAACACAATGTTTTAGCATGTGGCTTTTACGGATTAATTGCATTAAAGATTCCAGGAACAAAATGCTTTGTTTTTGTTTTCCCTCCAGTCATGGAGCGTTGAGTAGAACTCGCGCTTTCCTACCTGTTGCTCCAAACCATCAGTTGTAAACATTCGGCTAAAATTAGCAGAACAGAAGCGAAAATTAGCAAGACAGGAGCTAAAATGTGCAAAACAACAGTTTCAATGGGAGCAGAGGATACGATAAACAAAACAATCTAAAATTAGCAGAAAGCAAGTGGGTATATTTAATATAAAATTATTGATTTTATTTTGAAAAGTATAAATTTTGGAAAAACCAAAAGTCACTGCACCCATCTCCTGAACAGGCTGAATTTTATACATATAAACGGCTAAAAATTCCCAAAGTCTGCAGAAATAATTTGATAGCAAAAAACGCACGTACGAAACGAACAAAAAAGTCTTAAGTGCTAGCAGTTTATTTTCTGGGTTTGAGCAAAATGGCTACAACTCCATATTCCCCATGAGATGGTGTTAGCTTGAAACTTGGGCATGAAGGAGTTCTTTGTGTTCATGCAGGTGAGCAGGAAGCTCCTTGCTCCATCGAATCATCAGGTGGGTAATTTGACCGAACAAGTGGGGTCCCCGATGCACCAGCAGACTTCTTTATCATCCTCCATCTCGCCCTGTAAGCCTCAGAGTTCAGATCCGACCCCTATCGTCGTCTCCTCAGCCTCAGCTGCTGCCTCAGCTGCTGCCTCCACCACCTCACTTAATCCACTGGTCACACCGGTCACCTATATCAGCCCACCCACAGGTGAGCCAACAGTGGTAAAGAACACATATGTTTAATGTCTGCCACTCCAAAACTAAATCTTGTTTCCTGCGTTTTTAGACCCCAAGTCCCAAAACCTGGTGCTTTGCTCTTCATCATCTCCCAAAGACTCTCGGGTGATGGTGATTCCGGCTCCGGTTCCGGTTCCCATTAAGCCTCTGTCACCACTGACCCAGGTGTTAACGGTCCAGCCCTCCATGGGCCAGCAAATGGTCCTGCATCCAATCCAGTCAACATCGGGGGCACAGTATTATCGCAGGCCAGATGGGAAGTTGGTACAGCTGATTCCCATCAGACACCTGAAACCTATCGCAGCGAAGGCGCCCACTCAGACAGGTGAGTGTCCTCACCTGAGGGACAGTTGGTTGATTTGAAGGAGGTATTTGGTTATTTGCGACCAGAATTTATCATAAAAATTCTCTAAAAATGTATCCAGATTTAGAGTATATGTGATTCCAAATGGCTGCCACATCTGGCAGATTTTAGCGGCCACAAAATATGTATAACTCAGTCAGTTTTACAGGTATTGAGCTAAAATTTGATGTGGCAGGAGACGAGAGTTCACAACACATAGCTTGAGGGCTAACAGGTCAATTCAGTTTCAGTTCAACTGTTAATCTGTTCATTTGATGAAATGAGGTCAATTTATTCTCCAGTAGTCTAAGGTTATAGCAGCACAGGATAAGGAATAGTTCAGGAAACCAAGCCGACTAACCACATGATTTATCAAAAGGGAAAGTCTTAATCCCAGTCTTAAAACTGGACAACGTGTCAGTCTCACAGACAGAAACTGGAAGTTGGTTCCACAAGAGAGGAGTCTGATAACTGAAAGATCTTCCTCCCATTCTGCTTTTGGAAACTCTAGGAACAACAAGTAAACCTGCAGTCTGAGAATGAAGTGTTCTGTTAGAAAAATATAGAACAATCAGATCTGTAATGTCAGATGGAGCTAGGTTGTTGAGGGCTTTGTAGGTTAGAAGTAAGATTTTGAATTCTATTCTGAATTTAACAGGGAGCCAATGGAGAGAAGCTAAAACTGGAGAGAGATGATCTCGCCTTCTAACTCCCATTACGACTCTGGCAGCAGCATTTTGAATTAACTGAAGACTTTTTAAAGAAGTATTTGGACACTCAGATAACAAACCATTGCAATAGTCCAGTCTAGACGTGACAAATGCATGAACCAGTTTTTCTGCATCATTTTTAGATAAGATGTTTCTAATTTTAGTGATATTACGCAGGTGGAATAAGGCAGTTCTAGTAATGTTCTTAATGTGGGGGATAAAAGACATGTCCTGATCAAAAATAACACCAAGATTTATAACATTAGAGCTGGAGGACAGATTAATGCCATCTAAGGAGGGAGAAAGACTGAAAAAAATATTCCTAAGATGCTCAGGTTCAAAAAATAAAAACCTCAGTCTTGTCTGAGTTTAAAAGTTTTAATCTGTGACCCTATGTTTTTAAATGCTTTCTATTAATTATTCTGTTATTATTATTAGTGTATTGTATATATATATTTTTTTTTTTCTCTTTAATTTTACTTTCATTGATTGTTGTTGTTGTTGTTGTTGTTGTTGTTGTTGTTGTTGTTGTTGTTGTTATTAAGCACTTTGATAACAGGTTCTGTTTTAAATGTGCTCTATAAATAAAGTTGACTTGACTAAATCAGAAAATTTAGGGTCATCCAGGTTTTTGTCTTTAAGACATGCTAGTAGTCGAAGTAACTGATAGGATTCATCGAGTTTAATGGACAAATATAACTTTATCATCATAACAATGAAAATTTATCCCATGCTGTTTAATAACTTAACTTAATTTTTTTATTAATCTTTTTTTATTTAACCATGCAAATCCCACTGAGATCACTGATCTCTTTTGCAAGGGAGGCCCGGGCCTAAAGGCAGCCTAATGTGCACGTTTTTGGTTTTGGTATGGAAGCTTATATAAAGTAAAGAGTATTGGTCCAAGCACCGAACCCTGAGGAATTCCATGACCAACTTTGGTGTAAGAAGATGATTCATTATTTACATTTACAAACTGGAATCTATCATATAAATATGATTTACTGTAGTCCCTCACTTATCGCAGGGGTTACGTTCCAGACACCTGAAGTTGGGACAATATATTTATTTTAGTATTTATATATATATATATATATATATATATATATATATATTTTTGTATGTCTCTCTCTACATTCACCTTATAATCTAGCTGTTTTTTTTTGTTACCTTTCTTTTTTGAGCCATCCTATTTGTTAAAAAATATAATCTGTATGCCTTTTTATAACTGTCTATTGTTGTCGCTGTTGTCCATTGTTGTCATCATTCTTTGTTGAAATCAGGTCTCTCTTGTAAATGAGTCCTTGAGGCTCAATGGGATTTACCT